CCACGAACTGTGAGGTCATGACCTGAGCTGAAGTCGGAGGCTTAAGTGACCGAGCCACCCAGGCACCCTAAACATTAAAAACAACGTTTAAAATTTTTTTTTAATTAAAAAAAAAGAAGGACATACAGAACAAATGACTGGCAAAGAACTTTGAGGGCAAAAGGTTAGAGGTCATACTCTTTCTGACATCTTCAATTTTCTTAATTCCTAAATTATTTCCAATTCAAAAATATTTTTAAAAAGTAAATATACAACATACAGAAAAATCTATATGAACATAAAATGACCACCGTAATTGTTTTTTTTTAATGTCTTGATATCTTTACTTTTCTGTACAAGGAGAAATTTTTCCACAATTAAGTATTTTGCATGTTTAAATAAGAAAAAAAAGAAAACTTTAAAAATTACCTCCTAATTTTCCTCTGATAACATCTAAGGCTTCCTGGTACTTTCCCAAACGTTCCAGGATCATATAATAAAGTTCAACCTTACAGAAAAAACAAACAAGAAATGCAGCCAATGAAACTTCTCAATATAATCATTTGCATGCTTTCAAAAGTTACCTAACAGAAAAGAACACTATCTTCAAATGAGATGACATTAGCAGTAACAATGTTCGGATACCTAAGCTAGGTACTTCCAAAGCTTCCTTTTACACAAGAGGCAAGAGTGAGGCCCAGCTCTCTAACTGGAATAAGACAGCAGTTTACAATACTGTAGCATCACATAGTAGCAATATCAAATCATGGGAATACAAAAGGAGGGCTTCCACTACTCACTTCAGCTTCAGCTTCTATCTTGTCCTCTTTCACCATTTTTTCTACCATTCTCTCAGCGAGGGGCAGAAACATTGTTTTTGAGAGGTTTTCATCCTGTGCCGATATAGACTGTAGGAGAAAAAAATAAATGTTCTATTCTTATTTCTCTCCTGCTTGCACTATTTATATTATTACCAGGCAGACCATTACTGGGACCCCAGCACATATTTATCACTCCACTATGTCCAATATCAGACCTAATTTGAACTTGCCACGAAGATACATTACAGAGTGGTTTGCCTTAGAAGAGATTTCTTTTAATAAAGATTTATTATCCTATATATTTTTGACATACTGAGTTTCCACAATATGGCCTAACTTTTAAATAGGTTATTCATACATTTTTCTAGAACTATATTAAGAAGCAGTAGGTATGCCTACACTGTTTATTACATGTAAGGGGTATCATCAGTTGTTTGAAGAGAAAAGCCTTTCAAGTGTCTTTTTTTTTTTTTTTTTTTTTTTTTTTTTTTTAAAGATTTTATTTATGTAATCTCTACACCCAACAAGAATTGCATGCTCCACCAACTGAGCCGGCCAGGTGCCCCTATCAGATGTCTTTTTGAAATGTTCACATATGAAAGGGAAAACTCCAATTCCTTCTATTTTACACAGCTTAGTAGCTTGGATAATTAAGATGATCTTAGATTGACAATTAAAATCAATGCATATTAACAATTTTAACATTGCCTGAGATTCTGCTCGAACCTCAGTACTCAAAGTAGCTATTATGCTTATCTCACAGATAAACTAAGAGATTCCCCAACGGCTCTCTAAGACATATGCTGAAGCCAGTATATGAATGCAGACCTGTCTGAACCCAGAGTCTTTCTGTTCTGAACTGCTACATTTTAACTCCTTCCTCCCCATCTTCTCTTATACTCTATCTCCTTTTAGTCCTTACAGTAGCTCTGGGAGATGAGCATCTCCCTTCTGCAAAAGAAGAAACTGAGGCTCAAAAACCAGAATTGATAGAACGAGGCCATCCAGTTCAATAACTTGTACACTAACAAACAATACTGTTTTAAAGACAAACGTCAAGTCAAAATATCAAATATTTCGAGTCTCATATTTGATCAAATAACCCAGTAATAGATCTAAGATTCAGGGGAAATACAGTCTGTGCTCCACACAAATAAACCAATATACCAACTCATAAGGAATAAATGCCAAAACTCCCCAACTCAAAAAGTCAACTGACAATATGGAAAGTCCCTATTTGACACATGCTATAACACATTACCCAAGATGTTCAGAAGACAAATTAGGACAACAGCTATATACAAAAATAAAAACAAATCTCAATTCCATTCTGAATACCATACTCACTTGCATAATTAAGCTCATCACAGACCAAAAGTAGTAAGGATTTTTGGGGACAATCTTATATAGAGCCATGCCAGCCTGAAAGACAGAGAGCCATAAATACTTAATTTAGAAAACGTCACACAGAGGGCAATTAACGATCTAGATATGTGGCAAGAAGTTCCTAGGAGAATAGCAACACATCTACATATCCCAGTTACTATAAATGCCTAGTGACTTGATGAATATTCTCTAGTAGATAGCAATATAAGTAATCACAAAGGTGAAATTTTACAACATCAGAAATATTTCACCTTTTGAACCAGATTTCTTCAAATTAAAGCCCAGTATTTTTGGAAAATATAGCAATCCAATATGGTTCTGGTAGACTACTGACAAACACAAAATTTGGCTTATGAATGTACACCAATAAACTTTACTAAAGGCACTGCACTAACCAGTTATAGTAAAACAAATTTAAAAATCCAGACAGTATATTTAAATTTTAAAATTAGAAAAGTTTTCTCTGACATTATTCAAAAAACAGTAATTCTTAGGTTAGGAAAATAATCAGGTTCTCCCAAGATACCATTAACTAGAACTGAACTCTTTCATTGTGAAATGTATAATATGAAATACTTAAAGCAGAGACATGGCAAGAAGGAATAAAGTAGATCTACTCATGCATAACTGAGAATCCTCCCATAATTAGCCAATTAGTAATCAATGCCAAGAAATCAGTCAGCTAGTTATTACAGTTACTATTTTATGTTTTTTTAATGTTTTGCCTATCTTCAACCCACTTGAAAAAGTACACGGAGACTCTATTAAGTGGAAGGAAATGTCTATTCCTGCCAATGATAGAAAGATTGAGACTTGGTCCCAAATGCATTTAGAAGCTAGAGACAGAGATAAGACAAATATTTAAATGACTAAAATATACACTTGGCAAAAAAAAAATGTCCTATACAACAAAAACATCATATCTTTTATTTCCAAAAAAAAAAAGGCAAGTTGTTTATTCCTTTCTTTAAGGGAAAGTAGGGAAGGGAACTTTATCGATAAAGCCTTCTTCAAATAGCAGTCTTCCAAATGAACCTTGAAGGACAAACAGTATGTCTACAGGCAAAGATGGAGGTAAGGATACAAATATACAAATACAAATATTTGGGGTGAGTGGGTAAGTAAGTGAATCAATTCTAAGTAGGAGTAAAATGAATCTGAACAAAAATATTAAAGAAAAAAAAGACATATTGACAAGAAGAAATAGGACATTTGGCTAAAAATAAGGATTAAGAGGACTAGTAGGGAAATGGGGCTGAAAAGTAACTGAGATACCCTTATTGTGAAGCACTCAAAAATCAGGCTGTTACAGAGTAAAAGAGTAATAGGTACACATCTACACTCTTCTAAGAACATATTTTAACTGGACCATGAAGAAAGAAAATAGAAAGAGATGAGGTAATGAGGAACTACACCAGGATGAGGTACATCAAATAGAAAAGAGACCTCAAAGACAATGTGGAGGAAGAGTCAAGATGACGTAGAAACAATATGACGTACAGGTTTAGAAGAATCTAAGATAGCTTAAGGTTTCAGCTTCTAACACCAAACTCTGGAGGAATTGAATGAAAAGTGCTAGAAAATCTATTTTACCTGATCATTTGGGGAAGGAAAACATTTTTATAATGACATGCAGAAATAAAAAGTAGAATATAAAATATGAATTTTTAACACAAAACATAAGAAAAAAATTTCATGCCCATAACCTACTATCTTGCCGACACTTATATTCTGCTGATACAGGAAACTTTTGACGATAGACAAGTTTAAAAAACATGGCTATGAATTGGTGACTCAGAATATGGAAATGTGAAAGAAAAGAGAAAAAAGAGTAAAGACAAAAGGATAGGAATGTCATTTACAGAAAAAGAAAGTCCAATCACCATATGAACATCTGGCAACTCTTCATTCAAGATGATTTTTTTTTTAAGTTTATTTATTTTGAGAGAGTGAGCAAGAAGGGCAGAGAGAGAATCCCAAGAAGGCTCCATACTGCCAGCACAGAGCCCGATACGGGGCTCGAACTCACGAACCAAGAGATCGTGACCTGAGCTGAAATCCAGAGTTAGATGTTTAATCAACTGAACCACCCAGGCTCCCCCAAGATGATTTTAAATACTGCCTGCCAGGGATGTCATTTGGGTCAGTAAAAGTCCTTAAGTTTTCTGATTCCTTAGCTTCCCTCCCTTCTACCTCCACCAGGTTAATCATTTGTTTTTTTTTGACAAAAATTTATTGTGCAGATGCTATTCTAGGCACTGAGGATTCAGCAGTGAACAAAATAAAAACTCTCACCCTCATAAAACTTGACATTTAATTTGTAAACTACTTATTATCCCAGACTGACACACCATTTTCAATATAATCCTACATGTATACTAAGAAATAACTACCTTAAGCAGCAAAAAAGGTAAAATTAGACATTTCATTCTAAAACATTTAACACTAGAATGCTCCATTCTTCCAATATATTAGAATAATGTAAAAACAAGCTATAGCTACAATATATTAAAGATCCAAAACTGTTAAGCCACATCAAAGCAGTGGCTCCAAAGAGCAAGATGCAGAAGTATGTCTATCTTTGGCCACATGTAAAGTCAAACTATAAAAAACAAAATCCATTCAAGTGGCACATTATTTACCTTAATATTGTTGTTGCATGAACTTAGCCTTTTGTTATTTTTTTGTATGTGTATATGTATTTCAAAAACATATTGTGGTATCATAATATTAACATGTACTTTAAAAGGGGGGGGGGGGGCGGTGCGCCTGAATGGCTCAGTCAGTTGAGAGTCTGGCTCTTGGTTTCAGCTCAAGCCATGATCCCACAGTTCTTGAGTTCGAGCCCCACATCAGGCTCTGTGTGGATGGCGCAGAGCCTGCTTGGGAGTCCCTCTCTCCCTCTCTCTCTGCCCCTCCCCTGCTCACACTCTCTCTCAGAATAATAAAAACTTAAAAAAAAAAAAAAAGAAAGAAATTAAAAGAAAGAAAAGTATCTATAGGCCTGTATCCTGCCTGGTAACATTTTGGTTACATAACCTTACAGATATATCCTTTAAGGAACCATAGATGTGAAGGGAGTAGAGGGGAAGGCCATTTTACAACTTTTTACCCATTAACATATATTAGGAACATCTTTCTATGTCAACAAAGACATACAGTACTATTTGAGAGGAGTGGGATGTTGCATTTTACCATTAATATTTAATATACTTTAAACATAATCCTAGAAATAAAAATACTAAACTTATATATATTATGTACATATACATATATACACATATGCACATATATATATGTATGTGTACATGTGTGTATATATATATATATATATATATGTCAGTTGCCAATTTTAAAATATATGCCCACTTTACATTAAAAGAAAAATTACAATCTCTGAATTATTTTTCCTGAGAATAAACTCCATCCGTAAATAAAACTTCTTCAAAGAATTGTATCTGGGGAATAAAATTTTTCCAATTTAAAAACTTGTATATAAGCAAATACGAAGATTAATTTTATGGAGAAAGGATTTATTTTAATATAGGATCTTCCACCCTCCCTAACTCATCCATTGTTATAGTCTGATACTTCAAGTAAAGAGTAAGACAAAGACCCAGGTAAGAAAGCTTTGTTTTCAGAAGAAATTGTACCCACAAACAAAACATTTCTAAAATAAATACTAGCTTGACATCATAACTGTCTATGGGCTTAACAGTTTCATTCCTCTGGGATGATGACTTTACCCACCCACTAGTCCAAATGTATCCACATGAGGCTTCTTCATATGTCTACAAGGAACATCTAAAATGTATCAAGTGGCAAATAAGCTGCCTTTTGCAAAAAAGACAAGTATTCCAAACAGTGGGGATTTTTCCCAGGTGAATTTAAAAATTTCAGCAGGCTACAAACAAAATTAAATTTATAAATTAGATGTAAACTTTCTTTTTCTTTAAGATTTTATTTTTAAGTAATCTCTATAAGGAACATGGGGCTCAAAATCACAACCCAAAGATCAAGAGTCACAGGCTCTACCGACTGAGCCAGCCAGATGCCCCTAAATGTAAACATTAAAGTTTGCCTTTCTATAGTCTGTTCATTTTTTATTCTGGGATTTCTGCCCATTTTCTGAAAATATAACAGCAATTTCATGCAGTGGGACAATCTGAAGCCAACGTACCAGAATAAAAAATGCTAGCAGGCCACAAAAGAACAATCAAATTTCCCCTAAGAAAATGCTTAAAGAACTTGAATAACAGTTCATCCTTAAAACATTCAAAGAAAACACATGCCTGATCTCCACACACATAGATTCAGTATTACACACATATGCAAACACACACATGCACCCACACACTCCTACAACTAAATCACATTTAAAGAAATTTTAGTCTCTAATAGCAAATCCCACAACCCAGGATAAAGTTACCTGTTGCATTTTCTTGTATTCGCCCACTCTGGCATAAGCCATGAAGAGGTGAGAGTGATACTCCTCACTATTGGGAACTTTCTTCACAGCTGCCTCATAAAGTTTTGTAACTAACTCCGCTAGAATAAAGAGAAATAAGATAGTCTTTAATTATTGAAGTATATCTTAAATCTTAACAGCATTTAATTTCTCCCCCCTTTGGAGGATACGATGTCTCCTACCATTAAGGAAGAAGAAAGTACTTGTTTTGCCTCATCCGATCATTACTCTTCTCTTGGTTAGGCATTATTCAATGAAGCACGGAATAGCTCAGGCCTCCCCTAACACACTTACAATATACAAGACCCTCCACAATCTAGCCTCTCTCTCCTTCCTAATTCTTTCCCCCAGCACTTTATGTTCTAGCCACACCAAACTATTTGTAGTTCCACTAGACTCCCTGTGCTCTATCATACCTCCATGCCTTTACTCTGCTCCCCATGCCTAAATTCACCTTTCCTCTCTTTTCTACTCAATGAACATCATCCAAAACCCAACTCAAATGTAATCCTCTCTACAAGGAATTGTGCAAGTTCAAATGTAATCCTTCCCTGAGCACCATCTGTGCTCCTCTACTCAGTTTGATTACTGCTCCCCTCTGCCATCTTTAAATCTTTGTAAGTCTCTTATAACATTTATTAACATATAATGTAGTATACAGTTTATTGACCAATTTCCCTTTATTTTAACTGAGCTCTATGCCCAACATGGGGCTTGAACTCATGACCCTGAGATCAAGAGCCATATGCTGTACCAACTGAGCCAGCCAGGCACCCATGAATTTCCCCTTATAGACTGTGAGTAACACAAGGGCAGAGAGAGCATCTTTAATCTTTGCTTCTGATATAATACTTCTCATAGAAAAACATTCAACCAGGGATGCCTGGGTGGCTCAGTCAGTAGAGCGTCCAACTTCGGCTCAGGTCATGATCTCGCAGTCTGTGAGTTCAAGCCCTGCGTCAGGCTCTGTGCTAACAGCTCAGAGCCTGGAGCCTACTTCAGATTTTGTGTCTCCCTCTCTCTCTCTGCCCCTCTCCCGCTCATGCTCTCTCTCTCTCTCTCTCTCTCTCTCTCTCTCTCAAATAAACATTTTAAAAAATTCAACCATATTTGTGAGATAAATGATTTTTAAAAAACACTGGGAGGGGCGCCTGGGTGGCTCAGTCAGTTGAGCATCTGACTTTGGCTCAGGTCACGATCTCGCGGTCCGTGAGTTCGAGCCCTGCGTCAGGCTCTGGGCTGATGGCTCAGAGCCTGGAGCCTGCTTCTGATTCTGTGTCTCCCTCTCTCTCTGCCCCTCCCCCGTTCATGCTCTGTCTCTGTCTCAAAAATAAATAAATGTTAAAAAAAAAATTTCTTTTAATAAAAAAAAAAAAAACAGTGGGAGAGAATCCATATCTCTAAATCAACATAATCCCTATAATCAAATGCAATACCTCAACTCTTAAGTTTTATCTTTTATAAAAATGAAAAAACTAAAACGTAACATTTTCTGCCCACTAGGTTGGCAAAAATTTTATTTTTTCCAGCTTTACTGAGGAATAACTGATGAATAAAAACTATATTTTAAGGTCTACAACATGATGATTTGATGGCAAAACTTTTAATTTTTTTTTAACGTTTACTTTTGAGAGAGAGACAGAGACAACATTAACAAGGCAATGGTGGCAGAGAGGGAGAGAGGCAGACACAGAATCCAAAGCAGGCTCCAGGCTCTACGCTGTCAGCACACAGTGAGATGCGGGGTTTGAATTCATGAACTTTGAGATCATGATCTGAGCCAAAGTCGGACGGTCAACCAACTGAGCCGCCCAGGTGCCCCTGATGGCAAAACTTTTAAAGTCTAAGAATAGCAAGTGTTAACAAGGATGTGGAACAACTTGGAACTCTTATACACCGGTATTAGGAGAGTAAATTTGGAAAACAAGGTGACGTTATTTTTCTTCATCTTTAAGCTGAACATACACACACCCTAGGACTTAGTATCTCTACTTCTAGACTGCAGTCCCCGAGAAAAATGTTTTTGTGATAGTAAAAATGAATGAACTAAAAGTATGTATATATTAGATGAAACATGCAACTCACAGAACATACACAGTATGAATACATTTATATTAAGTTCTAATTAATATGGTATTACTACATTAACAATTATATCAATATAATAACTTCTATTAATAAGTAACTTATTAACTAAGTTATAATAAATAATAATAAAGTAAGAAATTGACAAAGTATTACTTAGACAAATGTGATAAAGATGTTTTTAAAAGCAAGACAATAAAATATATTCAGGAAAGCCAATACATCTTGGAAGGTAAAAAAGAAGTAAGACTGATGAAGAACACACAGGAAGCATCTTAGTATTAAGTTGGTTGGTAGGTCCATGAATATTCATTATTCCACATCAAAAATGCGTACTTCTATAATATGTATTATGGAAGATATGTATTATTACATAGTAAAAGATCTGAGAAATCAACAGTGAGAAACTTTACAGGTGAAATGGTAGACTATCTAGAATAGGCTTACAAATAATCTGGGAGGGGGATGGGATATAGATAAAATTGGCCATGTGACAATGACTGCTAAATGTGGGTAAGGAGTACAATGGGACTTATTATGCTATTCTGGTTTTATTTATGTTTGAAATTTTCCATATCAAATAGTAAAAAAGGGTAACTCTTCAATTTAATAAGTCAAAATGCCACAAACTGACCTCAAGTCCTCATTCCAATTCAAGGATCTTAATACATGCAAAATATCTTTTCTGCCAGGGCATCTGGGTGGGCCAGTTGGTTGAGCATCAGACTTCACCTCAGGTCATGATCTCACGGTTCAGGAGTTCAAGCCCACATCAGGCTTGCTGCTGTCAGCTTGGAGCCCACTTTGGATCCTCTGCCCCACTCCCCCCTTGCTCTCTCTCAAAAATAAATAAATGTTAAAAAAAATAAAATTAAATATCCTTTTTGCCTACAGTCTTTGTAAATCATGGTTAATGCATTATTTTACCTATTGCCATCCACTCAACTCATGAGTGATCAGTAAAACAGAAAAATAAAGAACTCAATCAGAAATAACCAAAAACTCAGGGTGCCTCATGGCTCAGTCGGTTAACCATCTAACTTCAGCTCAAGCCATGATCTCACAGCTCTTAGATTTGAACCCCGAGTCAGGATCTGTGCTGACAGCTCAGAGCCTAGAGACTGCTTTAGATTCTGTGTCTCCCTCTCTCTGCCTCTCCCCAGCTCTCGCATGTGCATTTTCTCTCTCTCTCTCTCGGTCTCAAAAATAAATAAACATTAAAAAAAATTTAAGAAGTAACCAAAACCTTAAGCTCAGGTTTAAAAACAATGAAAAAGAAGGGGCACTCGGGTGGCTCAGTCAGCTGAGCATCCAACTTCGGCTCAGGTTGTGACCTCACAGTTCGTGAGTTTAAGCCCCACATTGGGCTCGCTGCTGTCAACACAGAGCCTACTTTGGATCCTCTGTCCCCTTCTTTCTCTGCCCCTCCCCAGCTTGCTCTCTCTCTCAAAATAAGTAAGACATTAAAAAAATAACGAAAAGTAATAAAACAATGAAAACGAGAAACATACGTCGATGCATCTCCCGATAGAGAATAGTCAGTGCCTGCAGCGAGTTGTCATCTGTGGGTTCAAGGGCCGCCACCTCCTGTGCCAAGGTGAAGGCTTCCTCTTGCTTTCCAGTTCTCTGTAGACCAATTGCCTTTAAAACCTGATACAAAAGAAAGACAAATTCATTTTAAAAGGACAGAAAAGAAAATATGAACAAAACAAGGTGAATTCAAAAACACAACATAAGTTGTAAGGTATGCCTAGGTCTAATCAAGTAAACCATATTTTACCAAAAATATCAACAAATCAAGATTCTTTCTCAGTTTCATAGTAAGATGTAACGACACTGTTTAAAAAAAAGTCTGTCAAAATAGTATAATTAAGTTAGCTATATCCAAAGAAATAAACAGCTAGCTTGTAAGTAAATACTATTTATGGCATTTAAGTAATCAGAAAAACAAATGTCTTCAAGGGGAGCCCAGCTGGCTTAGTCAGTAGAGCATATGACTCTTGACCTCAGGGCTGTGAGTTCAAGCCCCATGTTAGGTATAGACATTACTTAAAAATTAAATCTTTAGGGGCAGCGGGTGGCTCAGTTGGCTGAGCATCCAACTTCCACTTAGGTCATGATCTCACAGTTCATGAGCTCAAGTCCCACGTCAGGTTCACTGCTGTCAGCTCAGAGCCTACTTGCTGGCTTGCTTCTGATCCTCTGTCCCCCTTTCTCTCTGCCCTTCCCCCACTCATCCTCTCTCCCTCCCACCCTCTGTCTCCCTCAAAACTGAAGAAACATTTTTACAAAAATTAATTAATTAACATCAGCTCAGGTCACAATCTCACCATTCATGGGGTCAAGCCCCACATTGGGCTTTGCACTGACAGCACAGAGTCTGCTTTAGATTCTGTCTCCCTCTCTCTCTGCCCCTCCCCTGCTCACGGTCTCTCAAAAACAAACAAAAAATAAT